AATTTATTTAATACACGAGTTTCACAATTTGAGTTGAATTACTGAAATAAATGAACTTTTCCACGACATTCTAATTTATTGAGATGCACCTGTATATATATATATATATATATATACATACTAGAGGAAAAACCTAAACTTAAATCCCTAATTGAAATAAAATAAATTGAAGTACTAAAATTACTCAAATTAAAATTGAAATAAAATGATAAAAAAATTAATTAAATTGACAAAAACACACAACAAAATTACTAAAACTTATACTAAATTGAAAAGAAAACTGAAACTATAAAATACAAATATTAATAAATTCTACACTGTATGCTATATTACTTTAATAGAAATCATTCTAAAATAACACTTGTTAGAGTTGGTGAATTCTATGAATTTCGCGTTTTAACTGTTTATTTTAATTAATAAGTTTAAAGAAACTATTCAAAACTGTTTAATGAATTAAAATTGTAATATATTAAACTTTTTTTAGTAAAAATATAGCTAATATATACTATATTGTAGGTATATAGAAAAACATAAAATATAAAAACACATCTGTTCCACCTTTATTTGACCCTCTAACACTTTCTATTCTATTTTAATTCTACTTCATCTATATTTATCTTCTTTTTTTTCTTTTTTTGAACAACAAAAAACAAACAAACACTAGCTTTCAATTTTTTCTACTTGTTTTTCTTTGTGTGTGTGTGTGTATGTGTATATATATATATATATGTATATATATGTATATGTGTATGTATGTGTATGTATATACAGTATATATATATATATATATACACACCTTGCTACGTGTACTGTGTTAGGCTAACCGAGACTTGTCATTTGCACTTATATATTGTTGCTCTTTTGTTAGTTTTGACTGCTTTTATTGTCCTCATTTGTAAGTCGCTTTGGATAAAAGCGTCTGCTAAATGACTAAATAAAATAAATAAATATAGCCTACAGTAGGTATATATTTTAGGTATTTATTGCTATAATATTAAATAAAAATAAGTTTTGTATTGTTGTTTTATAGTGTTACACACATGTATAGGATAAAGAAAATTCCTAGTATTCATTTGGTGAAACATGCAAATTATATCAACTAGTTGCTTTCTGTAGTTTGCATCAAACATTTTTAATTGACCTAAAACAACCAATTATTTCAAATGTTCCTCTGAAAACAAAATAAAATCAACCTTTAAAGCCACTTCAGAAGAGATGATATAATTAACACGATTACATTCCTCAGCTCATATTGTTCCAAAAGCTCAGTCTGTTGTTACAGTAAGCTCATGTCCTGAGACGCTATCGCTGTGTTCACAGAGAGTTCGCCCGCGTCCTGCTGAGCTCTCTGTGAATCTGAGAGCACTAGATAAGACAGATCAGGACCAGATCAGACTGGTTTAGTTTCGACCGAACAGCAGAGAGAAGAGAGAGTACTGGATGTGAAGGCACCTGTGACGGAGGGGAAGTAGATTCCCACCAGCAGCGTGAAGAAGGCAGTGATATCATTGAGCACATACGGCAGGTGTTTGTCCTGAGACGCGTCGCTCGCCCGCACCGACGGCACGGCTTTCTCCACCAGCATGCCAGCGGGACCGTAGCTTCCCCACATGTTCTCTGTGCAAATCAAACAAGAGGCCAAGACGTTGACAGACTCGATCGTTACAGTGAGATAAGCTTTCATTTATGGCCATTTGGTTCAATAATATCTGCATCTGAGAAACCCCTAAAACTGATCAGATTAACTCTTTTTGAAAAAAGTTGCCAGCCACCGCCAGCGATTTGTTTCACTAAAATTTGATGCCCTCCAGAATATTTTGCTGTATGAATATTTGAATATGCAACACACCAAAATAAAGATCAGAGCCTCTACTTTTAAACAAAAATCTTTTTTATTCTAGCGTAAAGCATTCTTTTTTAATCAACACTTGAATATAGGTGGGTTTCATAAAAATGCATAATTTTGAGCAAAAAGGTGAGAAAATCTAATTTTTATCAAAAACTACATCTGGGTAATATTCAGTACGATTATCAAAGCATAAATCCAGTAAATCGCTTTTATCAACAACTCCAAAGCTTGCACAGACATCTTCCTGGATCAACATTTTACTCCGTAACATTATGCAATTTTCATTTATATGCTGCCATTGCTGATGATCGCATTATTTTCATATGCTTCTGTTTACATAAGAGATCGCTCGTTTCTCCGTCCTGTACACGTGTGTTTTTGTTCGGGAGGTTTTGTACTCGTTCAGAAGATGTGTAATAGCGCCCCCGAGTGTATAACAGTGAAAATACAAAAAGCCGTAAAAACGCGTCTTTGGCGGGGAAGCGTTGTCTTCTAAAAGACGAGATAACTCGTCAATAGTGGGGAAAGAGTTAATCAAATTCACGCCAGTCTGAAAACAAACTACATTCATACATTCATTCACTCAGAAAAACTAATTACACTGAGCGATATGGCCAAAAATATTATTTTTTATATCATACAATGACAATTTGACAATTTGTATTCATTTACCGTTAATGGGGAATTAAATTAATGGGGAAATAAATGTAAACATAACTTGTTTGTTCACAATTAAGCTCCACAGATTAGGAATTGTAATATAGTATAATTTTTTATGTAATCAAATAAAAATATAACAATTAATTTACAACACAACATTTGTATTATTTTCTGTCAAATAAGATGCTGCACAACAGAAATAGTTAATAAAAATATCCTGGTTGTATGATATTACATACTATTATTATTATTATTATTATTATTAGAGCCAAGAGTGCTTTTTAGGCATAACCTGAACCTGCAAACTATTTTACTTCCATAATGTGACTTGCTTCCCAAACCTGATGGATATTCAAGATTATAATGACTAATGCTTATTTTTTCTTGGTTAACAAATTAATCTTACACAATAAGATCAGGCACATGTAAATATAATACTCCAAAAATGACCTTTTTCTTCACCCACTCCATTAAAATCATCATTGAGACCATAAAACACGAGTGCTGTGCTAGTTTGATCAAATTATGAGGACAAACAAGCCGTGAAAAATCACTTGAATGTCCTGTACTGACCTACTTACACAAAACTCCAGACCAGACGCAGTAATGCTGCGGGAAAACAATTATTTCTGCTCACTTTGACATCAGTGTGGAGATATTAATGTCAGGCCTGGCCTGTTAAATCCAGCAGGATCCGGTCTGGAGCGGGAGAAATCACCAGTGACCTTCAGAGCCACAGCGGCTATATGATCAATAACTCAATAATAAATACAAGAGCGTATGGTGTATGATAAGAGAAGGTATTACAAATACACACTGGTGACCAATAGCACAAGCAAGCTGAGGTTAAAATGAACGCAAAACGGCACGTGCAACCTATTTTACTTCTGTAAAACTTATTTCAAGGTGTAACTTGGAGCATATTTAAGGTTATGTATATATAATAGAGGGTAAATCACCTGAAATGACTCCGCTGGTGAGGCCGGGAATGCCCTGGATCTCCGTGACGTTATTGAGGCTGAAGTATTCATTGCAGCTGGCGTTGAGCTCCGGACCTTTACAGAACAGAGACCAAAGCTTCGTGGTCACGGTCACGTTGTCTATTATTTCTGTCTTCATGCACTTGTCAAAGCCGTGGTTCTGCAGGGTGCGGTTGCCCAACAAACAGACCCTGGAGAGGACAAAAGAGCCTTTACAAAGAATTCAAAGCATGGGCTGCACATTTAAATCAGAGTTTACTGTCAGGAGGCTTGTGGTCATTGAGAAAGCCTGTGTTCATCTGTGAAACAAACACTGCTGCGGATGTTTGTGGTTCAACTAAATGCACAGAGCTGCCCGACACTGCTACAATCTATAAAGAAGCTTTGTTAGAGGTGTTAAAATAAAATAAAATAAAATAAAATAAAATAAAATAAAATAAAAAATCTTGCCATTTTAGGTAAGTGATGTAAAAGTGCTTAAAATAAAATAAAATAATAAAATAAAATAAAATAATTTATTTATATTTTCATATTTCATTTTAATAAAAAATTTTATTGTCACATTTTTACACTGTTTTTCCCTTTTCCATGAACCCTTGTAATTATGTGTTTTTTTAAGACAAGTGACACAAAAGTGCTTAAAATGAAATAAAATAGAATAAAACAGAATAAAATAAAATAAAATAAAAAATCTTGTCATTTTAGGTAAGTGAAATAAAAGTGCTTAAAATAAAATAAAATACAAATCTAGTCATTTTAGGTAAGTGATATAGAGGTGTTTAAAATAAAGTAAAATAAAATAATTTATTTATATTTGAATGAATTAACACATGAATTTTAATACTGTTTTTTATTTTCATGTTTTTACACTGTTTTTCCCTTTTCCATAAACCCTTGTAATTATGTGTTTTAAGACAAGTTAAATAAAAGTGCTTAAAATAAAATTCACAATGTTGCTTAATTTTACATTGGCAGCAAATGACACAAAAGTGCTAAAATAAAATAAAATAAAATAAAATAAAATAAAATAAAATAAAATAAAATAAAATAAAATAAAATAAAATAAAATAAAATAAAATAAAATCTAATAAAATCAAAAACCTTTAATGTGTGACTTACGGAAAAACTGGAGGTTCAAAGATGGTTTTGATGACCCCGGCGTAGATGGCCAGGATGGACAGCACCACACAGGCCAGGAAGACCAGCGCGAGCTTATTCACGTACTTCACACCGACGAACACCACGAGAGACATGAGCGTCAGACAGCACGTCCCATAAACACGCATGTTATTCAGCAGAGCGTCCGCCTCCTGCGCCTTCTCCTCCGCCTTAAAGATGGCAGCACTGGGCACCATGTACGTCTGTGACACAACACAGAAAGATGATGCTCGTTTGATTTTGTAGAACAGAATATAGAGGAAATCATGGGGAAAAGATGGGAATGGGACTGGGAAACATTATTAGACAGATTCAGTCTCTGCCAAATAAGAGTTTTAGCAGGGGTTTTCAATCTTTTGAATGCCACAGACCCCCAAATATGATCCTCCTTGTGCGAGTAACTCTCATCCTAGAATTTAAAAGACAGCTATATATTTTCATATATAAAGACCCAATTTAGACTGTAAAAAACTTACTATATTACATGTGTAAACTATTTAGAAAATATTTAGTTTCTACTGTTACATTTTAAAAAAAAATCTGTACTGTTCAATTTATTATCTGTTTAGTCTGATATTTGCTATTTATTTAATTTAAGCATTTTTATTTATTTTAATAATCAGTTAATTTTAATGTTATTTTAATTATTTATTTATTTAATTTAAGCATTTTCATTTATTTATATTTGAATTAATTAATTAACACATTACTGTTAATACTGTTTTTTATTTTCACATTTTTACACAGTTTTTTCCTTTTCCATAAACCCTTGTAATTATGTGTTAAATAAAGTTATATAAAGTTAAATAAAAGTGCTTAAAATAAATTTCACAATGCTGCTTAATTTTACATTGGCAGCAAGTGACACAAAAGTGCAAAATAAAAAATAAAAATAAATAAAATAAAATAAAATAAAATAAAATAAAATAAAATAAAATAAAATAAAATAAAATAAAATAAAATAAAATAAAATAAAATTCACGTACTTCACACCGACGAACACCACGAGAGACATGAGCGTCAGACAGCACGTCCCATAAACACGCATGTTATTCAGCAGAGCGTCCGCCTCCTGCGCCTTCTCCTCCGCCTTAAAGATGGCAGCACTGGGCACCATGTACGTCTGTGACACAACACAGAAAGATGATGCTCGTTTGATTTTGTAGAACAGAATATAGAGGAAATCATGGGGAAAAGATGGGAATGGGACTGGGAAACATTATTAGACAGATTCAGTCTCTGCCAAATAAGAGTTTTAGCAGGGGTTTTCAATCTTTTGAATGCCACAGACCCCCAAATATGATCCTCCTTGTGCGAGTAACTCTCATCCTAGAATTTAAAAGACAGCTATATATTTTCATATATAAAGACCCAATTTAGACTGTAAAAAACTTACTATATTACATGTGTAAACTATTTAGAAAATATTTAGTTTCTACTGTTACATTTTTAAAAAAAATCTGTACTGTTCAATTTATTATCTGTTTAGTCTGATATTTGCTATTTATTTAATTTAAGCATTTTTATTTATTTTAATAATCAGTTAATTTTAATGTTATTTTAATTATTTATTTATTTAATTTAAGCATTTTCATTTATTTATATTTGAATTAATTAATTAACACATTACTGTTAATACTGTTTTTTATTTTCACATTTTTACACAGTTTTTTCCTTTTCCATAAACCCTTGTAATTATGTGTTAAATAAAGTTATATAAAGTTAAATAAAAGTGCTTAAAATAAATTTCACAATGCTGCTTAATTTTACATTGGCAGCAAGTGACACAAAAGTGCAAAATAAAAAATAAAAATAAATAAATAAAAATAAATAAAATAAAATAAAATTAAATTAAATTAAATAAAATTAAATAAAATTAAATAAAATAAAATATTCACCATGTTGCTTAATTTTATATCGGCAGCAGAAACTTTTAGAATATCATGAATATTCACAGCTATCATTGGATAATTCCTCAATTGAAAGTTTAAAGTTATTCTTAGATGATCACTATGTCCTAGTAGCTAATTAGCGGTTTCTAAAATCTCTTGTCTTTGGATTTTCTGGCCGTAATCTGACTGCACCTTTAACTGCACACACAACACTCACCAAGAGGATCTCGATAGTCCCGAGGATGTACATGGCGCCGGCGAACGTTGTGCCCAGATAGAAACACAGACCCACAGCGCCTCCGAACTCCGGGCCCAGAGAGCGAGAGATCATGTAGTACGAGCCTCCAGCTGCACAAAAACATCAGCAGTGGAAATGTGACACAGGACGACAAGCCCTTGTGAAACATGACGACCGCAACACATTTCTACTGGAAACCATCGCTACGTTTGCTATAAACACCATAATCGCTCACGCTGGTTGGGAGGTTTAATTTGGTTTTATGCAGAACATGATGACATTTTCTGTTTAAATACAAGTTGAAAGCGATACATTTAATATGAAAATGTCTTACCTGGAACAACACCGTTTGTAGCAATGGCACTCATTGATATGGCTGTCAACATTGTCTGAAAAAAAGTGTCCACAGTATTTTATTAAATCAGAATAAAAAATCATTAAGAATTACATACATTTTAACCAATTACTATTAATTCAGATAAAAAAATATACATTTTAAATAAATGACTTTTCTTATTATTAAAAAAAAAAATTAATAAAAATAATCAAATTCTAATTCTATTTTATATAAAATAATGCAATATTTACTAAAATGTTGATTTAAATTGTAAAATATTTTCTTATTATTCAATAAAAATGTCCACAGGCCTTATTAAATAATAAGACAAACATTTTAAAATGTAAATACTTATACGAAAAATCATTATCATACCAATTCTAATGTGTAATATTATATACAACAATTTAATATTTACTAAAATTATTTACATTTGAAAATATTTTTCTTATTATTTAATATAAATGATAAGAAAACTGACTATCACATCAATTCTAATGTGTAAGATTATATAAAGTAATGTTGTATTTGGTATCATGTTGATTTAATTGTTAAAATATTTTCATTATTTAAAATTTAATTTAATTTTAAAATGAAATTTAAAAATCATTTTATATATGTTTTCTTATTTAAAAAATAAAAAAGCATCTTATATAAAACAATGTAATATTTTGTATAATGTCGATTTAATTTGTACAAATATTTATTCGTATTATTTAAGAAGAAGAAGAAAAAAAAGAAGAAGATTATATTATATTAAGAAACATTAAGTTCATATTTGACCAAATATTACAGTATTTTACATCATATTAACCATTAGAATTTAAATAATACTGTAAAGGAAGTTTCATATTCAGCTATCATCATATCACAAAGATTATTTTTAGAATAACATGCGCTGATGAATCGTTCACACTCAGACCAGGAACATGTATTAATAAAGTAAACAGGTCAATGAAACTCAATCAGCATCATTTCAAGATAACAATGTACAACACAATAATGAGGTTCTCCTTTTCTTTTTCCAGGAGCGTTTAGTTCTGTTGAAGGTCATCTGCATCCGGCCGCTGAGTCTGAGTGTCCTTGAGCCGAACATCTAAATCCCTGGACTAAAGCCAATTAACAGCCACAGGCTTAACGAGTGAAATAAAGCTGCTTGAACCGGCCAAATACAGACACAACGAGCCTTCACTGCGCCTGACGTTTTCATCAGCACTGTTTCTGATTATAAAAACATTCATATATACAGTATATGTATGTAGGATATCAGACCGAATCAGACAATCTAAGATTTGGTCAGAACCGAGTTGAGGCACGAGGAGTCACAAAAATTCCACAGAGGCCCCTGACAACAGGATGTCATAAATCGGACCCCAGCCTCTCTGAAGCAAGCCTAAACCTAAGCCTCTGTCACAGAATAGGAATCATTTATATTCTGATCGTGTTAGATTATGCTAGAGTGGTTTAGAAATAAACGATAAACAAATCATAATTTACATTATTATTTAAATGGCATGGAATATTAAAATGGAAGAAAAAACTTTTAATCATCCAATCAATTCCTAAGGGACACTATTAGGTCCAGTCTAGCATTTTTTATTCCTGCCTGTAAAAAATTAAAATATCTAGAATACATACATCTATATATATACAATATACATGTGTGTGTGTGTGTGTGTGTGTGTGTGTGTGTGTGTGTGTGTGTGTGTGTGTGTGTGTGTGTGTGTGTGTGTGTGTGTGTGTGTGTGTGTGTGTGTGTGTGTGTGTGTGTGTGTGTGTGTTGAGTGAGTGAGTGAGTGAGTGAGTGAGTGAGTGTGTGTGTGTGGTGAGTGAGTGAGTGAGTTGAGTGAGTGAGTGAGTGAGTGTGTGTGTGTGCGTGTGTATTTTTGAGCTAAAAAAAATTATTTCTGCATATTGTAATCTTTTCATCTTGATCGGCTTCCAAAATAACTTCCTTTTCTAACGTTTTAACATTTGTCATAAATAAAAACTTTTCCCCATTCAGTCAGTTCCTATTAAGTCCAGCAGTCCTGCATTTGTCATTCTTGTTGAGCATCCTGTTCCACTCAATAATGTGTCATATTAAGGAAGAAAAACAGACTGTAAACACTGCTCTGATATTGATTTACCTTCCTAAATGAGGAAGCAAATACGTCTCCTCAGTGCAAGCTTTAATCACACTTTGAAACGTCTCTCTAACGGTCATTTATCTCTAACAGACGTTACATAAACTGGCAGCTCTGAGATGTTGATGGTTCCTGTGAGAGCCAAATCTTTAGATCGCCGGAAACGTATAATGACACTAGTAAGTGAAGGTTAGGTGAATTAGACGCTCGTCCGCTGTGGTTTATAAATAAGCAGCGGTGTTAGAGACGTGTGAGTTCAGATGAAAGAGGACCACCCCTGAAGCCATGCACTCGTGCAGTCGTGCGGTCTGGACTTACACACGAGCAGCACATGGACACAATGATAAAGGACTCCAGGATTCCCGCCGTTCCCACGATCCACGTCATTCGCAGGAAGAGAATCACTCCCAGGATGTTCTGCAGGCAGGGCAGGTAGACCCCGATGAACGTCCCCATCTGTGGACTCTGCACACAGACACATTGCATAAGAAATGCATGTTTAAAATGATCGCACATGCATGCAATAATTAGGCAGAAAATCTAACAATGAAATCCTGAAAGGTGTTGCACACTAATGCCACAAAGAACTTTTTGTGCTTTAGTATTTAAAAACTACACACACGTACCAGCAGTGTTATTTTAGTAGTTATAATAGTTTATATTATATTTTAAATTAGTTTCTATTTTTAAATGTTCTGTTTTCATATTCATTTTTAGTAAATGTTTTAGTAATTTTTTACTAAATTGTGTTTTCTTCATTTTTATTCGTTTTTTTTATATGTGACCCTGGACCATAAAACCAGTCATAAGGGTCAATTTTTTGAAATAGAGATTTATACATCATCTGAAAGCTGAATAAATAATCTTTCCATTGATGTATGGTTTGTTAGGAGAGGACAATATTTGGTCGAGATACAACTATTAGAAAATCTGGAATCTGAGGGTGCAAAAAAATCAAAACATTTAGAAAATCATCTTTAAAGTTGTTCAAATGAAGCTCTTAGCAATGCATATTACTAATCAAATATTAAGTTTTGATATATTTACAGTAGGACATTTACAAAATATCTTCATGGAACATGATCTTTACTTAATATCCTAATGATTTTTGGCATAACAGAAAAATCTATCATTTTGACCCGTACAATTTTTTTGGCTATTGCTACAAATATACCCCAGCGACTGGTTTTGTGCTCCAGGGTCACATATGTCTGTAGTTTTTATTAATTTTTTATTTCAGTTTTAGTTTTGGTTATTTTAGTACTTCACGTTAAACTAAAGGAAAATAAAAAATGTTGCAGTACATTTTACAAGAAATCATGTTCAGTTCTACAAGTTTATGTGAAATTCAGTTATGTGCAGTTTCTTTGTAATTGTTTGAGAAATTTACTAGCAATGAGCAATACTAAAAGTTGAAAAGTTTTTCAAAGCTTAATTTTTATATTTCATTTCATTTAACATTTATTTTATTTCAAGTAACAAAATTTTTTTTTTCAGAAATTGCTAGCAAATTTTGCAATTAATTACTAAGAAACAGCAAGTAACACATTGAATTAAATAATACATTTTGATACAGAAAACTAAAATAGTCTTGTCTTGTAAAATGTACTCCAATGATCTTTGATTTTCTATTTTTTACAGTGCAGTTAAAATTAATAACTGGATAGAACCCAGAAATCAAAACACTGATCTGAAGAACCTGTAATGAAGCATAAAAGCAATATTTTAATCTTCAAAGAATCATACAACCAAACCAGGAACCTTAACAGCTCAAATGATTCCTGATAGAAGAAACAAGTGCTTTGATAAAAGAGGAATTTGCCATGTTAACTTTTTGAATACATATTTAATTCTTCAACAAAAGCAGTCTTAAGTCTCAGGGGTATATTTGTAGCAATAGCCAAAAATACATTGTATGGGTCAAAATTATAGATTTTTCTTTTATGCCAAAAATCATTAGGATATTAAGTAAAGATCATGTTCCATGAAGATATTTTGTAAATGTCCTACTGTAAATATATTAAAACTTAATTTTTGATTAGTAATATGCATTGCTAAGAACTTCATTTAGACAACTTTAAAGATGATTTTCTCAGTATTTTGATTTGTTTGCACCAGCTTTCAGATTATGTATAAATCTCAATTTCGAAAAATTGACCATTATGACTGGTTTTGTGGTGCAGGGTCACATATATGAAACGCAAACCAGATATAGATCTCAAACATAAGTGCTGTTGCATCTAAATGCACATTTAAAGCTTTCAGCCTTACAAGAGACGTAATCCATGTCAACCATCCAAATCATAAATGATCCAACACTGAGATTCACACTCCAGGCATGAGTTCTTGAACAACTGATTGCTTCAATCTTCATGCACAAGTAGCATCATAACTACAAAAATCATAACCAACCTGTGCACAACCAAAAAAACATAAATGCATATACATTTATAAAAGCATACCGCTTTGAGACGAACGGTTTTGAAACTGTTCCTGCTGGATTCGGCTTTAGTCAAATACACTCTATAGATGAACCCAAGAGCTTCAGCGAGCTTTCCTGACGCAAAGAGCAAAATTTGGATGAACTGCAAAGTGTCCCGCAGTCTGAGCGTCTGAAGCCCGTCGTCTCAGGACTAATGAGAGCGTGTTTGTCCAATCACAGAAAGATGTCCAGTGACGGGGAGACTGGCTGGGGACTGTGGTTTGTGGCTATCGCCTGGCCATTGCTTCAACATTTTGACTGACTGTCAGCAATAACCACGAGAACTCAAAAATGTGATGCCCGCTGGGCTTGAAATGGAAATCAAAGAAAAATCGTTGCATTTGTGCATGTGTTAATACATCTTTGCATAAGCATTTGCAATAGATGAACCTTAGATGTCATATTTAATTTAATGTGAATAAAACTAGGCTGAGAGTAAAATACTGTTCTGTGTTATGGCATATCAAGTTTTTTGGATATACATAAGGCATCTAGTGTTATTTTAGCATCAATAAGACACTATTGTGCTTTTTATTAATATTTTCAATTCGTTTTTTTTTTTTTTACATTTTCAGTTTTCATTGAAATGTTAGTTTTTAGTAAATTTGTTGTGGAATTTAGTCATTTGTATTTATGTCTATATATTTTTCATTCATTTTTATTTCAGTTTTAGTTATTTTAGTACATCAAGACAAAATGAATGAAAATGAGAAATGATACCTTGGCAACTAGCTGAAATATATTTTTATATACATTAAATATATTAAACATTTTTCATATATTTTGTAATTATTAATGTTTATTTTATTTCAAGTAAAAACAAACTTTGTTTTTAGTTTTAGTTAACAATATTAATTCTGTGTAACGATGCTTTACAGATATCAGGAATGTATTAATTTTTATTTCAGTTTTAGTTTTAGCTTTTTAGTACTAAAATAGGATAAAACTATATTAAAACGAGAAATGTTGCCTTGTCAACTAGCTGAAATAAAATAATTTAAAGAGCTTTTTAATATTTTATTTCAGTTTTTAGTGGTAGTTAACCATATTAACTCTTAATCTCCAAAGAATGAAATATAATCAAATCAAAATAAATATATATATTTTTTTGGCTAACTTATAATAACCCTGGTTCAGACTAAGGTTTATTGCATTTCCTGAATGGTGAAAGGGAACAATGTAACTATGAGAAGTTCAGGTCATTTCCGACATGTTTCTGTAATCAGACATTCCAAACGATCTGACCTGTATTCATTTCCTGTCGTATTTTCAACAAAGGCTAAAGAATGCTGAGAATGTGTGTCTGATTTGTTTTCGATTAGAGTACACAGACACAAAGCTCAAACATCCAACAGAAAGCTCGGCTTCACGTGTGTCTCTCACTCACGTAACTTCATGTCTAGAGACAAAATGAGTTTAGGCGGTTCTCTAGTGCCAAATTTACAGGATATTGTCCAAAAACTAAACTAAATGTTCTTCTGATGTATAATGGTTCTCAGTCCGTTACCTTGACTGTCTGCTTCTTGGCACCTTCATCCTCGTCGGCCTCCTCGTGTTCCCTGACGCCCTGCGTGAGGTTCGTGTAGTTGGCCAGTTTGCTGAGCAGTGAAGACACCATGGGATTGCTGTCCATCTCCTCCTGAAAGGGTAAAGGTCATGTGTTTGATGAAAAACTGCAAACCAGCAAACAAAAACGATGCATTTCAAACCTCATTTCAAACAATGTCTCGTAAAAACCCTGAGTAAAAATACATGCAGGCACCAAAATCAAAGGACGTAATAACAGCTCTGTCTGTCCGAAATCATAAAATTATACAAAAATAAACTTCATGACCCATGAACTACTTTATTTGTGATCATAAACATGAAACGAGAATGTGGAAAACAGAGTAGAGAAAAGCCATGATGGCTTGAAAACAAACACAAAGAGTTTGTTCAGACTTCAATGCAGTAATATAAATATGACAAAACTTATTAAGAACATCTTACTTAAGAACAAAAAGATATTACATTTTTGCATAAAGAAAAAGTATGCCAGTTTTTTGTTTGTTTATTTATTTATTTTTGGGCTATTCATATTTTTGCATAATGACATAATTTTAGGTCTTATTCCACCAAAAATCTTGTTATTGTAATGCAAATATATGTAGTACTTTTATTTAGCTTAATAAAAAAATTATGACTTTTTATGTTATTAATATATTGTATTATATTATTTTAGCTCATTTCCACCAAAATTCTTATTATTGTAATGCCAAAAATATTATATATTTTAGTTATATTATTATATTACTTAAATGATCAAATATACATCAAAGTGGCATTTATTGTACTATTAAAATTATTATTGAATCAGTCATTAGTTATCATAATTTTAGTTTTTTTGTAAATAATACTTAGTATTTTAGCATTTTAATTAGTATAAAAAAATGAAAGAGTCTAATGTAAATTAAAAAAGAAAAGAAAAAAGCTAAACTAAACCATCAAGATGAATTGATTAAATTAACATTTGAGGATAAATATGCAAAATTGACATGGAACCAAAAAAAAAGTCAAATACAAAGAATTTGCAAAAATAAATAAATAAAATAAAATAAACTTAACTAATAAAATTAACTTATTCAATAATATTGAAATTAAGTTTGAAGATACCTCAAAAAGTGCCATGTTTTTCCCATCATACAGAGTTCCCTTATCATCATCTGTGTTATTGATGAAGGGGCTGCTTTCCCTTGGGTTTCCATCACCTGCATTAGACAGACAGATGGAGAGAGCAACAGAACAAGAGAGAAAGAGAGGGAAAAAGACATGATTACAGGTGATTGCAGGAGATCTGCCACTAAAATGCTGTTTGCTTGTGAAGCGAGAGGCGTTTATGGTCTGTTATGTGTAGTCTGTTGGGTAAATTAGGAAAAAGCAGACTTCCTATCATTGCCGCCGGTTAGACGCAATGATTTTCCTATAATTAGAGCATGATGGTGATCAATGTCCTCTGGTTCACTGGTCAAACTCTGTGACGCTCAGACAGTCTGATGGCACTATAAACCTCAAACGTATAGCTGAAAACATGCACTTACTCGGCACTCGCTCACTGATCCGCTTGGGGTTGTGCTTATATATAGATGTTAAATTGCAGTGATTTAAAGAAACATCTGGACTGGGCTGCGTCGCTATAGGATTTATTTTCAGATTACATCGCTTTATTCATTTCCTCAGACCTCTCATTTCAACGCAGCATATAATTCAGATTCAGAACGACGCACTGTTCACAAGATATCGTTTCTTAAGATTAATCTTTTGTCACGCCGCAGATGCTGAGTTAAATATGTTTGAACTGTTTAACTTTGTAAACAGCAAAGTCCAAGAGTATGTTTAATGGTAAACTTGGTAAAAAAAAAGCTTTTGGTAACTACAAATGCGACTGTTTTCCAGCTCAAAGATCCATCAAAATCTGTGCATGTTGTCTAATAAGCCTGGCATTGTATGTTATGATTATTGTTGGCTTGCTTCTCTGATCTTTTTGGATAAAAGCATCAGCAAAACGCATAAATGTAAATGTATGATCATGCAATGAAACCACAAGATGCTCTAATATGCATACGAGTCATTTTTCATACCGCCTGAAACAATAGTGCATTTGCAAACTGGTTTGAAACGAGTTCAAACTGTTTGGTGCACACATTTATGCAATAATTGCAAGGAGGAAAAGTATTCAAAGTGATACTGAAGTCACAGCTCACTCTAAATACATGAATGCATGATATCTACACAAACGCATCAGACAGACATTTTTATTTAAAGCACCTTTACATATGCATTCAGCATTGACATTTAATCAGTAAGTGTGCTTCACTGGAATTGAAACCCTGGTGTTTTAGCATCATGTTTCTACCGGTTGAGCCACAATCTCCAGTTCTACACCTCCACCAGAACAAAACATGCTGGCTAAGATGGTAAGAACCCAGTTGAGGTGTTTAACTATGATAACTATGCAGAATCAAAGCTACTATAAACAGATGAAACATAAAGTGGTCAGTTGCTAGTATTTGACAGAAATCTCTTCTGAACTTTTGTAAATTGTGAAGTGTTTATCTATTCACCCTTTGAATGGTGTAGCTTTGGACTATCAGTATTATATTCGGTTCACACCCACATATGCATCTATGACTACAGACACTTGATACAGTAATGCTGAATCTCACGAGACGTGATCCACTTTCATCAAAATGGCCTAGATTACAGATATGCTTATATCACTGCAGATGTCACAGCCCTTCATTCAACTGTTCAAACGCTGCACGATGCACTCCCTTCATCCAGAGATACACGCATGGAGAATGAATGAGTGAGCAAAACAGAAGCGATGAATAAATGGATGGACATTTGGCTCCAGGGGCAAAAAAATGCTAGCTGTTTTTTAATCGGTATATTTGTGTGATTTTCCAGGGAACAAAATAAATCAATAAATAAAAACCTTCAACAAAAATGATTTGCATCCTTAAAGCAAGTTACAAAAAACATATAAATAAAATGCATAAAAAGTATGCAAATTTTGTTTAAAGAACAATCAATATACATTGTCTAAAATATGTAAAAAAAAAAAAAAAAAAAACTATTTCGCTTCTCTTCCAAAGGATGTGCAGATATTTTTACTGGAAAACAAGACAAAAAATACTATTAAGAAAAGTTCTTTTTTGCCATATCTGCTGAGGACATGTTGCTGAAGATTTGCATGATCACAAGAAAAGAAAATTTTTTTTAATTCTTGTTAACCATCTAAACAACGCTGCATAAGCTGGAAAACATGCCATGCCAAGCCGCCATAAACTCTACTGCAACTGGAAACTCAGGGAGGTTTTATAGTTCCATTACAATCAGTCTCCGGTAAAACCATGGAAGAACCAGACGGCTCTGATGGTACCTACAAGATCATGGAGTTCATCCGATCAGCAGCGCTGCACTGCATGTGCTTGGCTTAAGACCACTCTTCTTCCAGACATGACAGAGGAGGCGCTTTAGCCCAGTGTTCACAAACACTCTAACTGCAGACATCATAGAAGCCAAAGATGAATATAGCAATAATCTCAGCGAGAATTCAGCCCCCTTAACTACGAGACTAAACCGGATGCTGGTGGTGACAACAATGATGGATTATCAATTGTTCCTAATTGCAAGTGACAACACCATAGACGGCCAGAAGCATGCCTTTAATACCACACAACACTTATTTACTGGAGTAAGTTGTTCTGCAGCAGTTGACACATGATTTGAGGAAACGTTCATCTCGCTTGTTAATTTAACACATTATCAGCAGCACCATTTTCACCTGCTGGATATAAAACCGTTGAAAAAAAATCCTGAGGGGATCTGAGTCACATTTTATATTTACATAATTGAAAAATAAAATTAAATAAAAACTGAATAAATAAATAAAATATAGAACAAAATAAATGAAACAAAATACAAAATAAAAATAAACTAAAACAATTAAATAAAATACAATACAAAACATGATTCAACTAAATACATTTAAGTGAAATAAAATAAAATAAATAAATAAGAAATAAAACAATGAAAAAACTCAAATAAAATAACGGTATAAAACAAACCAAAATAAGAAGTAAAACTGAATAGAATAAAACAAAATAAAGTCAAATAAAATAAAAAAACTGAATAAAATAAGAAATAAAACAGAATGAAAAATTAGAAATAAAATAAAATAGAGCATAAAACAAAAACAAAATAAGTAAAATGTCACATAAAATAAAAAACAGAACAAAATGAGTAGAATATGAAATAGAATCAACATTTTAAAATAAAATAAAACACCTGCATTAACCGCTCATAATAACCCACCAGTGCAAACCAACACAGCAGAGTCTCACGTCTTCTCAGGGCAACGCTGACGTGGATCTGAGCTGACCGTCAAGCCCTTGAGTTCATCAGACCTTCGATACAGACTCATTTAGATGACACAGCTGAGGATTTCTGTATTTAACATCAGAACAGGCAACAGCTCCACAGAAAACCGCTCCATTTTATGGTCCAGTGGACCTGACATTCAGCGCAGGGAGGCCATGCGGATACACAGGTATGCAAACACACCTTTGATTCACCCTTAATCCACACATTAACAATTCATGTTCATTGTTTCCTTTTCAGGCACATAACAGTTGGAGTTTGCAACAATAAAACTAAGAACCTTCTTGATGACTTCCTTTTACAATAGACGCACGAAACAATTGTCACAAGAAAGGTTGAAATTAACATGTCAGGTTGAGCAGGGCATTAACAGGTACCGTGAATCACAGTCTCTATGGTAATAAATGGCCACATACTCTATTTATATCGGCTAAGCTCTCTGTCGTTCTGTTCTGTAAGCGGCCTACGAGAGCTTGTTGTACACTGGCTGACTGTGCAAGAGACGCTGGCAGAAAGAGGCACTCCAATCCCGTTATCCAACACGGATGTCAAGCAATTAGAAGGCCCAAAGTCTGACAAAGTAAATAAACGTCTAAAACTGATGATAGTAATGCTTCCGCTCTCTGGCCACAGCCTTTAAAATGACTCTCAAGCTCAGTTCACAAGATTCAGACTGTCAAAAAGAATGAATGAATCAATGAATCAATGAATCAATGAATTAATGAGCGAGCAAAACAGAAAGTAGAAATGAATCGATGAATAAACGGATGGACATTTGGCTCCAGGTAGATGAAAAACTGTAGATGTTTTCTTTGTTGAGAGATTCTTTTGTATGGTTATCCAGCAATAAATAAATAAAAAGATTAACACCCCTAAAACAAGGTAAAGTTACTAAATTATATAAATATATAAATTATTTTCATACTCAGTTGATTTTGAACCTTAAAAAAGTCACTTAAAGTCAGCTTAGAAAAGATTATTTTCTGACTTACTCACATTAAAACACCAAACTATCTTATATTTGAGAAGTTCCAGAAATGTATTAAACTTTATAATTTATATTCTGTTTTGCAACATTTATACCCAAAATATACTGTTTCAGTTGCCTGAGAAGATCCACAAAGTAACTTTAACGTCTGCTAAAAAAAAAACTAGCTTAAAGCAACTTGTCACGACTTCAAATGATCACTTTTAAGTGAGCTTAGAGGATAAGTTGTGGTCAAATTCTGAATGGCAACATTAAAATATCTTATTCTAGCTGATTATGCAACTAATCAACCCCTTCAAAATATTCTGATCATCAACATTTAAATAGCAAAATATCTTCCAGAAAGGTCAAACAACTTCTAAGGTAGTTTGCATGTATTAAAACTTAAGTAAGTGTTTAAAAAGACACTTTAAAAAATCACCAAAATATCTAATTCTGGATCAACTGCAAAGTTCCAGAACAGCAAATTAACATCTACTAAAGTAAAAGCAAAGACTAGCTCAATGCAACTAGTGAAATATTCAGAACATCGCTTAAAGTCTGTTTAGACAGGCTTATACTCTGGCTGACAACATTAAAATAGAAAACGATCTCATTCTAGATGATTGGGAAATTGCAGAACAGCAATTTCACATCTATTAATGTATGTACTCAATGCAATTAGCCGCATTCTTCAAAACGTCACTTAAAGTCGGTTTAAAGAGCTTATGCTCTGGTTGACAACATTAAAATGGAAAAATATCTAGGTTATATTCTGGTTGATGACATTAAAATGCCAAAATATCTCATTCTAGCTATAATTATGAAGTCCCAGAACAGCAATTCCACATAAGAACTACAACTAGCTCAATGCAACTAGTCACATCCTTCAAAACGTCACTTAAAGTCGGTTTAAAGAGCTTATGCTCTGGTTGACAACATTAAAATGGAAAAATATCTAGGTTATATTCTGGTTGATGACATTAAAATGCCAAAATATCTCATTCTAGCTATAATTATGAAGTCCCAGAACAGCAATTCCACATAAGAACTACAACTAGCTCAATGTACCTAGTCACATCCTTCAAAACGTCACTTAAAGTCGGTTTAGACAAGCTTATGCTCTGGTTGACAACATTTAAATGGAAAAATATCTACTTGAGATGTTCCAGAAGGGTAACTGTACATCTACTGAAGCAAAGAAACGAGATCTAGCTCAACACTTTCGAAAATATCAAAGTCCAATCAGAAAAGTGCATTCAGTAAAGTCCATTCAGAAAAGGTTATATTCTGGTCGATAACATTAAAACGGCAAAATATTTCATTTTAGATACCTGTGATGTTCCAGAACAGCAATATCACATCTACTGAAGTAAGAATGAAGACGAGCTTAACGCAACTGGTTGCTTTAGAGAAGTTGTTCAGGTTATATTCTTGGCTGACTACATTAAAACTCCAAAATGCAAACTGCAACTAGTCACATCTTTCAAAATGTCATTGGCAGTCAGTTTAGAAAAGGTTATTCTGGTTGACAACATTAAAACGGCAACCACCTGAGATGATCCAGAAGTGCAGTCGTACATTTGTTGAAGTAAAAACGAGATCCAGCTCAACACTGCCGATCGCAACTTTCAAAAACAACACTTAAAACGACAACTGTAGTAAGATCAATGGCATTATTTACAACAGAGCAGCACTACGAACATCTACGGCCATCACAAACCAAAGACTGCGTGCGGGATGCCGAACACTTACCCCGCGGGCAGGAGCTCGACCCCGGCTCCATGCTGATGGAGAGAGAGGGTGAGATGGGTCTGCCGAGGGTCCCTGGAGAGACGCGCGCAACTATCTGTGCTCTGATGATCAGCGCCTGTGACGCTGCCAATAAAACGCCAGAGACATCAGTCCCTGAGCGCTTGATCCCTGATCTAAACCACTCACCCAAACACGGGGGAGGAGCGAGAGAGAGAGACAGAGAGAGAGAGGGG